CGTAAAGGAAAGCTAACCTTTACCTTCGGTAGTTCTGTACATTTAATCCAGCTTTGCCATTTTGTTAAAGAGAGAGGGAGAGAGAAAGAGAGGGAGAATTTGGAGGATTTGGTTATTCTCAGACCAGAGACTCACGAGCTCTCTTTCCAGGACGTTGGCTGTGATGGGTGGCAAAGGCCAGCTTTCGTGAGTAGAGCCATGAGTCCTCGTGTTTGGCTTCTAGACGGGTTCTCAGAGATCTGGTCACCATCCCGCTACCATCATATGCAAAGGCCACTTGGTGTCCCCAACCAGGGCAGGTCATGGGTATTTGTAAGCTGGGAGGTGCCGCGTGAGCTCTGCAACCGGGCAGGTGACCCCTACTCCGCTGTTTGGCAGCTGTGTCACCCTGGGAAAGTCGTTTGGCTTATCTCAGCCTCAGTTTCCTCTTCTATACAACAGGGATAACAGTGCCTGGGCAGACCGGCTGCTCAATATCCAAGCTTCCCTCTTCCTCAGCAGGGGGATCCAGACTGCGGGATGAAGTTCGTGCGTTCTTGCTAAAACCATTTCATTGTCTCAAAGCTGGGACGGCTGTTGACCAAGTTCTGGCCATTGAGACATGCAAGTCTATTGGTGGGGAAGGGGTGATCTGGAAAGTTAATGTTTTCTTGCACTCAGCTTGACTATGCCTCTGTCTTTTCCTTTTCACCGGCCCATCCCCTTCCTGCCAGGAATGTGGATGTGATGCACGGAGGTGAGCAGCCATCTTGTGAGCACAAGGATAAGGAGGAGTGGAAACCTATGAATGGCTTGAGTTTCTGAAGGCATCATGGAGCTGCCTACCAGCCCCGTACTGCCACCCTCGGGACATCTTGACATATGGGGGGAAGACACTTCTCTTTCTGTTGGCGATCATTTTTTTCCTTTTACCCCTTCAGGCCCAATGAAATTCTGATATAAAAACCTGCCTTATAAGGTACATTCTCCAGGCATTTGAAAATGCTTGGTAAACTGTCAAGTCTTAACATATATAAATAGTTCAATATCTTTATAATAATTTAAGGATCCCTTTCTTGATCTGTAATCAGTACGACAGGGAGAAGGGACAAGGACACTTGTCTTCTTCTGTCCCGACTCATGGGAAGTATATATTCTGGTGTGGGATGGGGAATACATGTGGCCAAAATAGAATTTAATCAGAATCGCAAATCGTTCATCGGTCCTCATGTGTCTAATTTTGTCTGAGGCAGAGAAGACCCAAGAAGGAATTTGCTCTCTGATTTTGAACACCCCTTGCCTGAAAATCTGTTTGAGATTTAAAAAAAATATATAGGGGTTTGGGGTGAAATGAATGGGCAGTAATCAGTGTATACACCAGCAAGGCAAGGCCATGGTCTGCATCAATAGACACAGGATTTGGAATAAGAAGGGCACAAGCCCGTTTTTGTCTTCCCAGGAGGCACCTGGGCAAACTAAGCTCAGTGAGAGGAGAGCAAGGAGGATGGTGCAGAGAACCAAACCCCGTTTGTTATTTTGGGTCATGACTATAAAGGGTGGGAATAACAGCCGGAAGTGGGGGACATGACAGCTATTTTCAAATATCTGAAGGGCTTCCACGAAGAACAAGGATCAAGCTCATTTGGTTCCATCTCAGTGGGTGGGATTGGAACCAATGGTGGAAGCTTTTGGGAGGCAGATTTAGATTTAGACTTGTACGTGCTAACAGCTATGGCTGCAACAGCAGAGTGGCCCATCTCAGTGGTAGTCCCAACACGGGTGGTGTTTAAGCACATATTGAACCACCACTTGCTGGATCCCACTATGCATTCCCGTGTTGGTTTCTTCACTCAGTGCATTAACTGACGAATGCAACAGTTGTTTAGTGACTGCTATGTGTCAGGCTCTTAGTGGTTAGGCTACTACAACCTTTAAGATCTTTCCCAACTTTGCAATTCTTTGATGCTCTGAGTATGATGAACTCCATTTTGCACAGGGGTAAACCAAGGCACCAAGATCTGGAGTGAGTTAATGCCACAAAGCACATAAATGGCAGATCCATGATTTTCTCTGAGCTTTCACTTTATCTACTCTCCTTTCTTTTGCAATCATCTGTTCCTTTCAAAAAAAAAAAAAGAAAGAAAAAGAAAAAAGCCCAAAGTCATGCTCTACTAAACCCACTAGCCTTGGTGAGCATATCTGGACAGGATGTATAGTTACCCAATATTGGTCTGAAAGATGTGTTTTCCTGACTCCAGACAAATAGGAGTAAACTCTCCCCTTTGATCTGCAATCTTCCAGATTTCCCCAGATATCCCTGAGCAGAGGCGGATAATATGCAAGGGCTGTGGTTCAGATTTCACATAACAAATGGCTTTCTGACCGGAGACTGGTTGGGGATTTTTCCGATGCAGTCACCTCTGTTATTCTCTGCACTGAGATTCCAAATATTGCTGTAGAAACCACACATCTCCAAGCAAGCCCATTTCTTTTTAAACATTTCTGAATCTCTCTCTCTCTCTCTCACACACACACATGAACATACTACATCTTCCATCTGTGGCTATGTCCTGCCAGGAGCTCTTGCCTGGCAGAACCCCCATGGGTTGGGAGTGCCCCATTGGGCCATGAAGGCGAACCTCGCTTTTGCAGCTGGGCATCCCACAAGCCAGCAGGGCTGCTGAGCTCAGTCTCTCTTCCTTCGGGGTGGATCAGGCTTGCAAGACGCAGTGAGAGCAAATTGGCAGCTGGGGAAGACTGTCTGACGCTGCTAAAAGCATCTGTTGGAAAACTTGCTTTGTAATTTCCTAAGCTTTTAGGGTCAGAAGTGGGTAGAAACCCCCAAGTGGAAGGAAAGCCTAATCCACTTTCAAGTGGGAGGAAAATAAAAAACAGACAGGCTCGCATGGGTGCAGTCTGGGGATTCTGAACTGCACCCTCCCGGGATAAATGTTTCCAAAGCACCACTTTCCTATGGGAGCAAGAACTGACTTACTCCTGGCATGGTTTATTTGGCCCAGCCTGGACCACATGTGGGTGGGAGTGGTTCAGGCTCACCCTCCCCTAACATTGCTCTGTAGGGCTGCAGGGAGTTGGAGAACGGAATGGGACCTCCTAGCACATTCTCCGTGTTAGTGTCTTTGATCATCTTCCTAGGTTTTAGTCACCAGTGTACTTTCAGCACCTGGAACAGTGCCTGACACATAGTGGGTGCTCAACAGATATTTGTGGAATGAAAGGATGCATGCACTTTTGCACCCTAAACCTCTCCAAAGTTCCTTTTCCTTGACTATGTGTCTGGTTGTTGCCTGAAACAGGTTGAAAAGCAAAGGGGGCTTTGATCTCTAGACGGAACTGGAGAGAAATAGAAACTGGGGAGGCTGGAAGGGTAGGGGAGAGTCGGCATGGCTGTGTGAGGGGGGGTCTGGCAAAGCTATGGGCGTAGGGCAGACCCCCAGAGAGTGTCTGAGCTGGGAGCCGGGCAGAGCCAGGGGTTTCTCCCAGGTGCCTTTGAAGTTTCACCACACTCTGAGCTCTGTCTGCAGTGCTCAGAGAGCTTTGCTTCAAGGCCAAGGCCTTTATCCTAAGATCAAGGGTCTTCCCTCTCTCTCCTTTCACTTTTGCTACATCTCTATTCCTCTCTTTCTTCACCCTACAGTTCACCTTAATTGCTACTTTCAGTTCTGGGGAGTGAGGCGGGGCTTTGCAAAAGACCCATCTAAGCTTTCTCTTATCAGGTTCGCCTCTTTATAGCTTTCCTTGGCCTGAATGTGACCAAAGAAGTCAAGACTTTTAGAAAATCAAAATTGCGATCTTCAAGAAGCACACAGCATCTGCATAACAAAAGACCCTTTCTGACTGTATGTGGCTGGGGCTCTGGGGGCAACCTGGATCATTTATACCTCCCCCCTTGGCAGCTGCAAGTTGTCACTCTCTGGCACTTGGAGTAAGTACTGGCTCTACGTTAAAGATCGGGAAGGGCCGCATCTTCCAGTCCATACATGAGGCTGAAAGACAACTTTTTACCTTCAGAATATCTTTTTTCCTTCCCCCTTTATCAGTGCGCTTTGCAGAAACGTCATGTAGAGCTATCTGGAAAATGTTTGATTTCTTGAGCTAGAGAAAGAACTGGAAATGCAGAAGTCACTTGCCTGTATGCCTTCCCAAGCTCTCTTGGCATATCCAGTACAGGCTCTTCCATGTGTTTAACCCAAATCAGAGCTTTGAGAGCCAGAGGAAAGGATAAGTAAGTCCTAGGGTAGGTAATAGATAGGTTAGGCAAGGGAGAAGGGACAAAGGGAGGGAGGGAAAGTAGAAAGAATTTACAAGAGAAGAGAAAAGGAGAGGTGGGGACATGCGTGCAGCCAGCTCGCTGCCCTTCCGTGTGTCAGCTCCATGGCAGCTGCTGCTGTTGGCCTTGGACTTGAAGAGACACCTTGTTGGCTAGCGGCTGTTCCTGCCTTAGTGGGGCATGCCTGGGGCTCAGGTAAGTGCTTTGCTAAACTTGGAGACTGAGCCCAACATGGAAGAGCCCAACTCTGTAGAAGCAAAGGCAATAAATGGGGCAAAGAGTTGTGGGCCCTTGGCCAGACCAAGCTATCCCCCGGAGATGATGTCCTCTACTTTTCCTTCAAAGAATCACATTCTTTCATGGAGAAAATGAGGCTGAGTCTCTGGGGCCAAGGACAATGTGTAGCTATTGAGCTCATAGGCATGCATGACCTTCGGTTCCATTAGAAGCAGTCTTCTTTGGCTGCTTAATACCTATTATAATTATGCAATAACTGCATAATATCTAAATATGAAAATTCAAGTTTTTGAGTCAGAAGTTCAGCCATGGGTAGTAGTAGCTCTGCTGAATTGCTGTTTACAACATTACTATTATTTTTATATCAGTCTTATCCTATGGCATCTGCTCTGCCCTTGCCCTGAAAGGCTTTAGTTCCAGGGCCCCATTTCATAAACCCAAAGAATGCTTGCAGGTGGCCTTGGCTGGGTTTGCAGCCCTGGGCTGGCCTTACCTTTTGCATCATTTCGTGGGTCTGCTTTGCTGACAGAAGGGTCTTCCTCAGTGGCCTTGTCTTCTCCTTTCTCTGTTTTGTCCTCAGGCCTCTGGGCACCTTCCCCCTTCTGCAGTGTCTGGCTGTGAGGTGAGCACTGGACTTCAGGCAGGCCCTCATGCTTCTTGTTCTCCTTCCTCCTCTCACGGGGAACTCTAAACAACAACGACAACAACAATTCACCATCAGGTATGATGTTCTGAGTGACTCAACAACCCCCACACAAGTGGCCCAGCTTGAGGTCACGAGAGGAGGGGGTGGAACAGAAACCTCTCCCCCCCACCCCCGACTTCATGGGCAATGATTTAATCTAGAAGGAAAAGAAATGAATACCGTCAGCTTATTCTTGAATAAAATAGTAGCGAGAGAAGGGTAGGAATATTATTCTAAGTAATAAGACAACTGGCAAACAAGTGTTCTACATTAACGCGTCCAGTGGTGACGACAAAGTTTTTCACTTTCACGTGATAGGGTCGACATGCTATAGCTTAGACTGTGTTTTCTGGCCTTTTACATTATGTCAATTATTTGTTTATATTTTTTTAGGAGTGTCAAACATAGTTCTTCAGTGACTCTCAAACACCCAAGTCATCTCACTTGGCAAGACCACAGGTCCTTTCTCATCCAAACCTCCTCCCTTCCTCTCTTCCATTCCTTCTGATCGTGCTGAGCCTTCCCAGCTCCCTGGAAATGCCGTGGGCTCTCAGGCTTCCGGGACTTGGCTCCTGTTTCTCCCTCTGCCTGGAATGCAACAATCTCTCTCCCTCCCTCCCCTGCTCTCCCGTCCTCCCAGGATTGTGTACTTGTCACTTCCTCTGTAGTGCTGTCCATGACACCTCCCATTCCCACCCCCAGACACAGACCCATCCTTCCCTGTTCCCCCCCGCACCTTCTCAGTGTCTTCATTTTAATAAGGACCAGTTGTGCTACGCGTAGTGGCCAGTTTTTATACCTATCTCCGGTATTAGGTTATGTGTTCCATGAGGTCATGGATTCAGCCTACTTTTCCTGCCAATGTATCCCTAGTGTGTAGCACTGTGTCTAGCAAGAGGTAGATTGTCAATCCGTATCTGTTGGATGGATGGATGGATGGATGGATGGATGGATGGATGGATGAGTAGATAGATGGATGACAAGTATTGGGGTGAAAGTCGAAAGGAACAAGACAGTAAGATTCAAAATATTAACTATGGGGAAGGGAGAGTTAGCAGTGCTGTACTTTTAATCCACCCCAAGTCCAAGGTGATGAGCAGAGTTGGTCAGGAGCAGGAAGTCAGGGGGGTGCTTTTCTTCCCATGGAGGTTGTCTGGGCTTGGTCATATAGCGTGTTCTGCCATAGTAAGGGCTCAGTAAGCACTACTTCACTTTGTTTTGACATTTTGTGGTTAGCCCATTTGCAGAACCACTAAGTAGTAACATCTTCGGTGGGTTTAATTTTTTTCCCTGAAAGCCAAAGAAATTGAATCTGAAAACCAGCGTCTTAGAGGTGATAATTAGAAGAGAATGGTTAAAAATTTAGAAATAACAGAGTCCCTACTATAGCCTCATAGTAACATCAATCATTGAACTATTCTTACCAATACTGGACAGAAACCTGAAATTTTCTTCATGCCACTCAGATTTAAAAAAAAAAAAAAAAAGATTGATCATTTTTCTTTTGTGAGTTTCAACTTGGTTTCTGAAGCTCCTATTCACTCCTGGTGGTTCTCTTGCTTCTCTTGAAAGATCCAGCTTAAGCAGTTTATGTGCTGCACAGTTGTGCGCAGCTGGACGGTTTTTTTTTTAGGAAAACAAAATTCTTAAGCTTAGAAAAACATCTGCTCTGTGTCTGCCCCCTGGATTCCTTCAGCTGCTCCAGCAAGTTGTGACATCTGAACTGACAAACCCTAAGGCCCTTTTCGGCACATTAAGGAAATCTGCACTCAGTAAATATGTTGTTACACATTTCTCTGGAGCCCTACTCAAGAATCAGAAAGTGACTCTCTTGCGTTGGGATGCTTGTTTATGAAGTTGCAGCTAAGCATTCTCGACTCCCACATCATGCAGGCTTGCAGAATACGTGAGCCCGCCGGACTCAATTAAGCCTGCCTTGTCGAGATGGATGGGGCCATCCAGTGCTTGCTGGGGAGCTGGGACACTCTCCACAAGGACAGATTCTGGCACTTAAAAATGATAGTCGTAAAATGGTGAAGAGAAGAGAATAATTTTTAAAGGGCCCCAAGTCAAGCAACCAGTGGGGAACTGACCAGGTTTCCATCTGTTTCAAATTAAATGTGTTTATTATCTTTGCATCTTGCTCCCCGGCTCAGTATAATCAGTTAGCAAATATCCTCTGTGATCTTAGCTGTGAGCATATTTTTACAAGTTTATCTGGCTGGTCCCTTCCACACACAAGCCAGCGGTATTTCTTCCTTCATTTTGAGTCTGATTTTGGGCTTTCCTGGAGATGTAGCATGGAGTCTGTGGGCTCTATTCATTCCACATTTATTTTTTGTTCTCTGCTATGCCTGAGAATGTATGCAAGGTGTTGGGAATACAGTGGGAGCAAGATAGTGAGTAAGTAAACATATAAGTAAACTAGTTGTAGCTTGTGAAAGGTGTCTAAGGAGAAGTAAACACGGGGAATAGAGATAGAGAGTAAATAACTGTCAAGGGCAGTCTTTAGATTGGGTGGTCAGAAAAGGCTCTTTGGATAAAAGAATTTGGAGCTAAGACCTGAAGAATAAGAACAAGCCACTCAACTAGAAACTGGGGGATGTGTATAGTAGACAGAGAAAACAGCAATTGCAAAGGCTTTGAGACGGTCAAGGGCTTGGAATACTGGAGCAAGAGAAAACAGGACAGCGTGGTCAGAGTGCCTGGAGGGGTGGGAGGAATGGCTTGAATGGATGCCAGGAGATGAGGCTCAAGAGAAACATGAACACAGCCAGGCAGGTCTTATGGGAAATGATCATGATTTTAGATTTTATTCCAAAAGCAATGAAAAGCCAAGGGAAAAATGCTATGTGTGAATTTGCATTTCATGAAAATTAGGCTGGCTTATCTATGAAGAACAGATTGTAGACAGGGAAGGGGCAAGCAGGGAGGCCAGGTGGGAGGCGGTCACCTTGGTCCAGTTGAGAGGTGACATGGTGGCTGGCACTGGGAGAGCGTCACGGGAGACGGAGAAAGGCGGATGGGACCAAGAAGGTTTGGGAGGCAGAGGTGACAGGACTTGCTAATGCACTGGATAGAAGAGACAAGCAAGAGGAAGACTCAGGCAGATGGTGGCATTTTGACCTGCAGCGGGGTATGGGGTGGACAATGGGGCTTATTGACTGAGAGCGGGAGGTCCCAGGGATGGCACGGCTGCTCCATGGGAAGGTGGGGATTGGAAATTCATCTTGAGCATATTAATCGGTGAGATTAATATGTTCATAGACCTGTTATTAAGCTGTTACTAAGCTCTATGTAGAAATGAAGAAGTCTTTTGGCAATACGTCTCTTGCAAAGGCAAACCTTACAAATGCATTGTTACAACTCTCGAAAGAGTGACAGAAAGACACATTTGGAAGAACGTGCAGTGGAGCTTCAGAAAACTAAAGTTTGGGAAGTTAGAGATGATTCAAGGGCTGGCAATAAATCTAGTGAAGGACGCACCATGTGGCCGTACGTAGCCACGGACTTTCTCTTTTGTAGCGTCTCATCTGAGTGGACTTTTTCCCTGTATTGGAAACAAGCATGCTGGTTGAGGTGTGGGCGCAGGCAGTCCGAAGCCTGCATGTGCTGAGCCGGGTGGCCGAAACATCCCGAAAGGATGAGCATCATGATCCGGAGGGAAGAGGAAGTACGTGGGGCTTGGAAGACAACACTTAGGAGAAGATATGATCCGCTTATGTCACCTACTGTCCTTTGAGTTCCAGGAAGTGGAGCAACCCCTCCTTTTTTTTTTTTAATTGAGCTACTCTTTAAAATGACATTTTCTCTATAAATTAGATATGGGGGAAAAAAATAGCTAAGGCCCCTCCCAGCATTTCTTCAGCTGAGTCTCTGCCTTCCCATTCATTTTCAGCAGATTCTGTTTGGTTTTCCATCTGCCCACCCGTTTCCGAGGACAAGCTGCCCCACCAGTTGCTTTGCTCATCTCTCTTTCTGTTTGGTGTTCTAGAGGGGTCCACGGTGCTTTTAGGCGGCATCATATTGGATGGCCGGTGAGCAGTCTGCAAAGCAAAATGTATCACTGTGAGGCTGTCGGGTTGTCACCGGTTCTAGATCTGGAAAAGCAGATCGTCCCAGTGGGTTTCTGCTTTGTGCATCGAGAATCTCGAAGCTGTTCGGGGACGGTCCTCTGCCGTTGGTATAGAAAATGCTTAAGTTTGGGAGTCAGAGAGGCCTGAGTTCTGTCCTTAGCTCTGCTGTTTTCTGTGACAAAGTAGAAATAAGACGTTGGGCTTGTGACGTAGGAAAGTCTTCAAACTCAGTGTTTTCAGCTGTAGAGTGTGGATAATTACATGTATGTAAATTGCAGGGTTGCGGTGAAGATGAAATGATAGAACACATGCCAAATTCTCAGCATGATTCCGCATGCATGCTGGTCACCACCAATAGTCTATCGTATTATGATTATCGAGCGTGCAAACATTACGGTTGTCGGTATGGCAGGAAACACACCTTCTTGGTTTGCAACCATGCAAGGACTGCTGACAAGCGCTGCAGTCATGGAGCCAGGGGCGCTGGAGCCCTGGGGCGGGGCTTCCCTGTTACTGTCTAGCAGAGGTTGCAAACCGGAAGCTCCTGGCGTGTTCGCTCTAATGCACTCAGTTTTCAAATGACATTAAACATTTAAATCGAACAATTCAATTAAACATGGGGACTTTTCTATGCAATGTGGACTAGAAGCTCTTCTTGAAAAATTAGATCTGGTAACGCGGGGCCCCCTCCGCTCCAGATGGTGAGCAGTGACCGGCAGCTGCGACTCAAAAGGACACGCACGCTCTTCCCAGTTCTCCCCACCGTCCCATCCCAGCTCCCCGTCTGGCGTAGGGAGAACCTGGTCACATTGACGACTGCCCACTCGTGCAACCTTGGACAAACTCTTTAACTCTTGCAGTCTCCGTCACTTCATCTATAAAAATGGAGATGACCGTGGCAACGTTTGCCCCAGGAGGCTCTTCTGCGGATGAAACAACATCAACAAAAATGTTCTCTCCAGTGCCTCCCATAGAGAGAGAACCCAGGGCTAGCTGTCATTATCATCACTGGGCAGCTTTGCAGATTAAAGGGCGTCCCATCGAAATGCATACTTCGGTAGAGGCTGACACAGGTTAAACTGTGGGTCACACAGATGGATGTCACAGAGATACAAGATTTTTTGAAAAATACCACGAGGTTTCCTTTTCTCGTACTTCCTTGTACTTGCTGCGCTCCCTACTTCCCTTTCTGGGAAGAGCACTTTGATGGGATATATTCGTCACATCCACTCCTCGCTCTTTCCCACCTGGGGCTGACTTGTTTGGAGCTTCTCAGGGGCCCCTTTGCCTCTGGACTGCAGTTGGGTTTGGCCACAAGGAAGCTCCAGTAGATCAAAAGAAGGGAGGGTGATGGTGTCAGTCTTTATTCCCCTGCCTGCCTCCTTCCCCAAGGGGTTGGGGGTTGCCTGGGCCTGCTGAGACCCTGGCTGAAGGTTGCCACCTCCCTCCGTGCCTTCTGTCCTTCTGAGTGGGGTGACCATTCCAAACCCAGATCATGAGACGTTGGACCTCGGGGTGGTAATGACCGCATTTTTACTAGCCCTAGGGCACTGTGTACTGTTTCCTGCAGTTCCCCCACTCTTCTTCCACAACTTGTAGATAGTAGTTAGTCCCTTTTCTCAAAACCATTTCAGCTATCCTACTTGGAGTAAGTCATTGGCAGATGTAGCTTCCACTGTCTTGAAGAAAATTTAAAATTATTAACGTAGAGAGCAAAGAAAAGGAGTCGATGTTAATGGTTCTAATCCCAAAATGGTATTTTGAATCGATATAGCAGGGTAATAGTGCTAGAAATCAGGCTTCGTGGTGAGAAAAATAGGGTTTTCTACACAGAAAGAGTCAAACCAGGTCTTGCAGGATCAGTGCCGGCGTGTAGAGCAGGCGGAGGAATTGACTTATGGGAAATTTGCTCCAGACAGGAAGAGGAAATAGAGAGGCTGCCGTGGGAGGCGGGGATGTGATTCTGAGAGGGTGCAGTGGCGCCACAGCTTGGTCCCTGAGAAGTGACTGCCTTCTCCCCCACCCCACCACGCTCAAGCAGGATTGGGGCAGGGAGTGACGGGGCTTGGAAACCGTCACAGAAAGCCCAGATGGCTCGAGGGAGGGTCAACGCATTGTGGCTTGTCTCCCGTGCCCTGCTGTGTTCACCGTGGTCTGGAGGTGGTGGAGTGGCCGAGGTAGGGGCGTCCTCATGGCCCGGAGCTCTTGTCTGCCCTGGCGAGAGGACGCCACAGTGCTGAGAGCAAGGGTGTCCCGGCATGGGCTGTGGCCAGGGCAAGGAAGCAAGAGAACACAAACCATGGGGGGCTGGGGATCTGGGAGACCCAGGGACCTTAGACCATTGCACCCACAAAGGACAGGGAGATCGGCCACATCTAAGTAAACACCAGCCAAGGACGTTTAGAGACAAAATCAGTCCCTGTAGCCGAAGATCAAGGACTCCAAGGAGCCCTGCCACAGGATGTGTTGGTTTTCCCTGCGCCCAGATACCATCTGGAGAAGGAGGAGTGGGCAAAGTGACGCCTTGGGAGAGGGGAGAAAGTGCCTTGGCACTTACTGGGTATTTACCCCAATGAAGCTGAGTCAGTCGTCTCAAAGTGACATGGTTCCAACAGGAACAGAGTAAGTTGCCTTTAATTGCCAATTTTAAATTTTCTCTGCCATTAAGAGGAATGGTAGTTTCAGCGGAGGGGACATTAACGACAAGCGATAATGAACTTCATTTTTTTTTTTCATGCCTCTGAGTGTTTCGTGTATGTCTTGTTTTGTAAATTCTGTGTGCACTCTCTCACGAGATTGACCCTTTACACTGGGCCTTTGCCTTTGAGCCCTCGAGTCCTATATTAAAGGTGGCAAATGAACTTTATCTAACAGAACCGTTGCTTTTATTTATTAAGTCGTTTTAAATATAACGACACGAAAGGAAATAAACACAGCAAGAAAGATATCCGTATCTCCTACACTCTAAAGCAAAGACATCTATTTTTAAAAATGTTTTCTTGGCCCATGTTGTTAAAATACTCGCTGACAGATTGGCCAAACCCTCTTCCTGGGAGGGGCTGTGCTGCCAACAACCGGAGCCTGTCCCTGGTGACATGAAGGAAGAGAGAGAAATGAGCTGAGATTACCTGACATTGTCAAATGGCGTCAAGCTTCTGCTCACTTGGGTGCCCCTCCAATTAATGAAGTAGGACATTTTTAGGATGGTGTCCAGACGACTCTTTATTTCCTGCTTCTTAACCTTCGCCTTTATACAAAACCCCAAGGGTCATGGGGATTCCTCTCCATCCTTTCTCCATCATCCTAGACTTTGATTCTGCAGCTCTGCACTCCTTTGGAATATTGACATTATGATGCTCCTGGGAGAACGTTGAAGATGGAATCCCTGGGCTTTTATTAACTGGAATCCTAAAGAACAGATTTTTAGCTTTGCTTACCTCTGCATGTTTTTCTCCCCTGTGTTCGAATAGCACATGACATGTTAAGGAAGTATTTTTTTACTTTGATGCTTGGGGAATGAGCAGTGAGGCAGAATAAGTTCCCCCGGCTCTTATTTGCACGGCTCTGATTTGGAGGTATATACTGTTCTGAACAACTGCTTGTTCATGTGCTTTCCTTGACTTGGAATCCTAAAGAGACATGATTGGATCTGCCCACATTCACGAGTAGGGGAGATGCCTATTTCAACAAGAGTGCTTGCTGGGGTTAATATGGACTGAGCAAAGCCTATTTGTGATAAGGCAAAGTAGCTAGTATTTTGAGATGAAATTTATATATATAAATTATATATATAATATATAATATTTATATAATTATATATAATATTGTAATATCAAGATAGTATAGATGTATAATCATATATTTTATAATGTATATATATATATTATATTAATATATTATATATTACATAATTATATAATCTATAATCATATATAATATTTATATATAATAATATGTAATATAATATATGATATATATTTTATATACATAAAATATATATAATTTATATATATAAATATATCCATATATCCATGTGGTATTTTCTCAGTAGTCCACTGTTTGCAGGTTCTTTTGAGGAGCCTGGAACATAGCAAGCTTGGGGCCACATAAGCAGTACTCAACACTGGTGATAATGCTCCTGCAGGATTTTCAACTGTGAGGAAGGGGTCCTTCTTAGGGAAACCCTGGGGAATTAAATGGAGAAAAAAACTAAATGAAATCTAGACACAAAATCTGTGAACAAATGAGTGAAATAAGTAAGCAATCGGATTAAGACTTTACAGTTTTTTCTGGCATTTTTCTGTTGTTGTTCCTGTGCCCCACTACATTCATTAGCTTTAGCACTTTTGCCAGATGTCCAGTCACCACTGACCAAATGAAATGGAAAAAAAATCAGATCATGATAAACTAGCCTGGCATTATTTATAACTCCTGTCATGATTTCTTTTTTTTTTTTTGATCCATGAATAACTTAGAACCATTTTGTTTAGTTTGCAAACATACAAAAGTATTTTTGACTATTTCTTTTTTTATACTGAGTTCTCATTTTATTGTGTTGTGTCCCAGAATTTTAATCCATTTCTTGATATTTATTGAAATGTCCTTTGTGGCTTGATATGTGTTCAGTTTTTGAAAATATTCTCTGAAAATTTGAAAAGAATGCAGATTATCTAAGAGTTGACATAAAGTTCTAAAATATGAATTTGATCAAGTGTCTTAATCATGCTGTTTAACTCTCCAATGTCATTATTAATTATTTGATCACTTGATCAATCAGTTTATAACAATTAAATTTTTTTTTTTTTTTTTTGAGACGCTGTCTCACTGTGTTGCCTGGGCTAAAATGCAGTGGTGTCTTTATACCTCACAGCAACCTCAAATTCATGGGCTCAAGCAATCCTCCTATCTCAGCCTTCTGAGTAGCTGGGACTATAGGCATGCACCATCATACCTGGCTAATATTTCCATTTTTTTGTAGAGACGGGATCTCACTATGGTGCTCGGATTGGTCACGAACTCCCGGTCTCAAGGGATCCTCTTGTCTTAGCCTCCCGAAGTGCTTAAATTACACTGGGCCTGGCCACAATCAAATGTTAAAATCACACTTTAAGAAATCTAATTTACGATTTAACTTTTACTTTATATGAATTGCTACCTTTGTAGGTCAACAATTTGGTTAACCATTGGCAATTTCATATGGTTCAACTTAATATTTTAGAGCTATGTTGCTAATGTTTGTTGGTTCAGGTTTGTTATATTTTTCTGATGTATTATGTAATGACTTTACTTTAAAGTGTATTTCATCTGACGTTTATACGGTTGGAGTATTTTTATTTTGACCGGAATTTTAAAAAATATAATCCATATATCTTTATTGTGATTAAGTTTTATTTGGATTCTTGTACGTAGTAAGTGATTGCTTAAGTTTAATAGAGTCTATCAAAATATCAATTTGATTTTTAAAGTTTGCAGTGTCTTTATTCTGTAGACATCAATATACAGTGGGAAAAATAGTGGGCTGTGGAATTCAATAGACTTTTCTATGTCTTGCTTCCTTGCATCAGCCTTTTCTCTAATGTCCCCCATGCATTTCCATCTCTCTTTCTTACTCTCACCTCCCTGACTCTTTTCTTGCCTCTCGTTCCCTGCCTCCAAAACCGTAGGAGGCACAGAGAATAAACCTGAGTATTGAGACACTACGATACGGTGGCTAAGAGAGTGGTTCTGTTGCTGGCATGGTGCTAACGCTTTCCCTGTGCGTGACTCTGGGCAACGTACTTAACCTTTCTGTGCCTCGGTTTCTTCACCTACAGAGTAGGGATCATGGTGGCTCCCACTTCCTGTGGCTGTTGTGAAAGTCAAATAAGCTCTTAAAGCTAAAGGACATAGAAAACCACAAGTTAGATGTTCAATAAACACTAGCTAACATTCCTGGAGGAAAATCTCCATTTCCTTAGTTTGAAAGGTTACATTGAAAGATGCCCATGTTATTGAATGAAGAAAAAAGTCACAAAAAATAAATGCAATGTAATTTTATTTTAAAAATATCATCTGTGTTTACATATACAAATGAGGATACATAGAATTTCCTAGATTATAGGTTATTTATATCTTCCCTTGCCTATTGCTGCTTTCTAATTTTTCTAAAATGAACATGGATTACTTGTGTGTAATAAAATGCACTTTGAAAACTCTCTGAAGTGGACCTGCTTATATGTTTACTATATGCAGAGTTTAAATTATTGTGAGTTATAACATGGAGACTATATATCCGTGAGAAGACTAAAATTGATTGTGGTCATCTACTGTAGAGTTCAAATTGTTGGTTGAGAGTTAAATCAGACAGGTAATCTCAGACTAACAGAAACTCCTTTCAAGAGCTATAAAGCTTTTTGGACTTCATAATTCTCAGTAATGCTTGGGGTGGGATTTCCTCAGAGAAATCCTTAGGAAACAGACCATTTTCCCAAGGCCCTTAGGGGACACGTGTACTTTGCACATCTTTTGAGGGAGACCAGATTGCTCCAGGGGCCCAGGGCACTGGGAACTCTACCTAGTGGCTTGGAGTGTTAAAAATGCTCTTGCTGCTTCTTCACATACTCTTCTTTTTTTCAAAAAGATTTTTTTCCCCTTTTTAGAGTGATCAAATTTTCCGATTTTCCTGAGATGTTGCTGCTCTATGCATTGTCCTGGCTGTAATTATTCATCACGCTTCTCTTTATTTATTTTTTTTTAAGCATTTCAGATTGGAGAATAAACTCCATGGAAGCTCCTTCTAAGTCCCACGTGACCCCCATTACTCATCATGGCTGGGTTGATACCTCGGGTGGATCCCTGACTTAAGCTGGGTCAAATTAGACACAGGGACCGGAGACATAAAAACAGAAGCAATTAGCCCTGGTATAGGGGAATGGAAGGAGCATAAAGATAGGGACAAGGACTTGAGAACGAACTGAATCGGGGGGCTGCTGTGCCCATGGGTCAGGGAGTCGAGAAGTTGACCAGCAGAACGAGGGTGGTGAGGCCGACACACAGCAGAGACAAGCAGAGACAAGAACCTGTGCGGGGCCCAGAGAGAGGGGTATAGAGAGAAGCTGCCTGAGTTCCCTGGTGGCATCCCAGCTCAGCATTCCAGTCCTTCCTGGTGTCGGTGTTATGTTTAGCAGGCTCCAAGCAATACCCAGGGAACCTTACAGCCCATTCCCCATTGTGTAAGCTAACGGGGAGTGAATGTCTGGTTCTTGCAAACAAATGCTCTGGGAGTTTTCACAAGCTGCTTGCTATGGGTCATCAGAACCCATTATTATCAGCCAGCTCACAAATTTGCCTGATTGTTTGTAGTGGAAGTTTCCTTTTATTTTACAATAACAGAGTGGGTGACAAGAGTCTCACAGAGTTAGCTGTGGGATTAGCTTTGCCTTATTGAAGTTATCAATAACAGCTGACCCTAAACCATCAAGAGAATTACAGAATCATGAAACACCAGAAGTGGAGGAAACCATCCACTGAACTGTCCCATCAAGAATCTCTCAGCCTTTCAGAAAGGACCAATGTCAAGCTACGAGGCCCCTGTGATGCAGGGCATTGAGGCTCCAAGCAGTGAAATCAGAAACAGGCTGGGCCTGTTTCATACAATTTTATTTCCGTTTTTTGCCTACAACAGGCTATGAAAACACAAGATTCCAACCCAAGAAATCTGAGCCTATTACATTATTAGCAAGTGGTGATTTCCTCTGAGTCAGACTGGATGATGATATTTGAAGTCATTTAAAACACTGAGTCTTGAAGCATTTTGTTTTTTTAATATAGAGGAGGAAGACCTCACAGCTAATGATAGAACTGGACCTAGACTTTTGGTCTCTTGATTCCAAATTCACCATTTCAGGTATGGAGGCCTCCCAAGACTCCCCTATGACCTAGAGCACCCTTGGGCCTTGAGGCCATCATGGTTATTGTGAACTATGTCTTACCATGCTCCTGTCTCTCCCTGAAGATGCTCCATCAGTGGAGAGACCCTGGCCAGAACTTAGTAGGACCGCAGCCTTCTTTAGGCAGGAAAGGATAGAATGATGCTAGAGGAACAAGAATTTTTCCAGTAGACTCCCTAAGCTAAATGGTACAAAAGGCAGCCTCCTAAGAAAAGGGTTAGCGACGTGCAATGCTCAACTAGAGGGATCATCTGTGAGTTCAATGCTCAACCAGAGGGACAGCTAGGGGATCATCTGTGAGTTCATGCCCTCATTCTACCCAGTGAGGCATCCTGCCCAGGGCCTGGGACTACAGGTAGAAATTTGCAACAATTTGTTCTTCGTATCTCAGTATGGATATGGATTCCAATTTAAACATAG